AACTCCCACAAAGATGCACACAGCCGCTGACACCGTTCCAGGCCACTGTGAGTCGGAATCCAAGGTCCGGAGGTTTCTCATTGCCTGTCAGTGTTTTCTGGGTGTCTGTCCTGCCGGAAGTCTGGGCCACCGGGCACTCGATGCCGTGGGAACGCTGCCTGTCGGACCCGGGCCTCCGTTCCCTCTTTGTCCTCAGATTTCCCCGTAAATGCCCCGGGCGCTCATCCCGGCCCATCGCCTTCCCTGTCGTCTCGCTTCCACGTTCACACTCTTCTCTGATTACTGCTCATTGAGCGCGCCTATCAGGGCCTGCTGGCCTGTCACTGCCGAGGTCTGTTTCATGGGGACTGGGGCTGGGCTGCCCCCGCAGGGGGGTGGGGGGTGGGTAAGCACCTCCCCTGGGATTCGTATGTCCCACCTCTGTCTGCCCTCTCTGGGCCATCCTCTCCTGGCGCTCTCTCCCTCAGAACCCAAGCCCGGACAACTGTGCGCTGCCCTGGCACCTCAGGGAGCTCTGAGCTCTTTCTCCTACACTGCATTCAAGCGTGCTTCTGCATTGGCTTCTGTGGGAAAACCCCACCCTGCCAACCTCCTAAGAGCCAGATGGGTCTGAAGTGGGGTGGGATCTGGGAGGGTCTGGGCTGCACCTCCCCAGGTTCTCGAGGATGACCCATGTTCATCCTGCTCACTTCTACCCACAGTTGGGCTTCTCCCGGAAGCCGCTGTGTCACAGAGGAGATTGGACACCGCCTCTTCTTTGTGCTGTTCGGTGTCCCATCACGGAAAGGCTCCCACCTCTTCAGGGCTGAAGGGGCAGCACAGGGAATCACCCAGGGGCCCCCGCTCCGGCTCTCGCTCTGAAATCCCGATCCTTGGCAGTGTTCGGGCCGGCGTGTGTGGGAGTTGAGGCTGGCCAGCAACCCTAGTTCCGTCGGTCACCACGCGTGGACAGTCTCGCTGTTCTGTCCTCACGGCCATCAAGCCAATGCCGACTCATAGCAGCCCTGTTGGACAGGGTCGAGCCACCCCTGTGGTTTCTGAGACTGTCGCCCTTTACAGGAGTAGAGAGCCTCGTCTCCCCCATGGTGGTGCCAAACTGCTGACCAGCGGTTAGCAGCCCAGCGTGTAACACCAGGCCTCCTTCAGTTAGGTGGGAGAGGTTGATCACTGCTCGGCTTGGCCAAGTCCTTCCCATCACCCAGCCCTGCTCCCAGCTCTCGAGGGCAGCGAGGGCTGGCCGCCCCCGCCCTCCGGTGCATTTCTGCTTCCCGAGTTTTGAAGCGTTGCTGTCAGGAGCCTGCACAGATAGGTCTGCCGCATCTTCTCCATCAGTCAGTGGACCCTTTTATGCACGGGGCTTTCTTTAACTCCAGTACTGTTATTTCCCCTGAAGTCGGCTTTGTCTGATGTTGACGTGGCCACCCCACTTTCTGTATCACTGTTTCCCCGTCTGTGTGGAGAAACGGTTCCCTTCATGTGGCCCTGGCCGCGCTTCACTGAGTGCTCGCTTTCTCCTCGCTAGGATCTCAGGTCTGTGGCAAGGGCTGCACAGAGCCGCAGAGGCAGCTCTAGATGAAAGCGAGCGGGTTGTCATCCCAGTGAGAAATGCTCAGGGTTGAGTTGTCTATCAGGACATGGTACAGAGTTCTCTCGGGCTAATACAGGCCCCGAAGGGCCAACCACTCCGCCGTACACCTCGCTCTCAAGTTCACAGGCCAGCACTGACGCGGCCCCAGCACCAGTGGAGTGAGGGCTTAGGCATTGGACTGCCACCCTCAAGGTCGAGGTTCAAACCCACCGAATTCTCCAAGGGAGAAAGACAGGCTGGACAGAGAGTCCTGGGACCGAGGTGGACTCGGCCGGTGGCATGGATTGGGGTTTGGGTGGGCTGCTGGATCTGGATCACCGTGTTTGGAAGTGACAATTGGGGAGGAGTGGTGGCCGTAGTCCCAGCAGGATTCAAAATTAGCGTTTGGGGTTTTTTTTCTTTTCCTTTAAAAAAAGTTTTATTGGCCAATAATCCACATACCATATAATTCAATATTTTAATCATATCAATCTTTTTTTAAATCATTTTAATTGGGGGCTCATACAACTCATCACAGTCAATCCATCCATCCATTTTGTCAAGCACATTTGTACATTGATCGCCCTCATCCTTCTCAGAACAACTGCTCTCCACTTAAGCCCCTGGCATCAGCTCCTCATTTTTCCCCCTCCCTCCCTACCACCCCCTCCCTCATGAACCCTTGATAATGTATAAATTATTATTTTGTCATGTCTTACACTGTCTGATGTCTCCCTTCACTCAATTTTCTGTTGTCCATCCCCCAGGGAGGGGGTTATATGTAGACCCTTGTAATCGGTTCCCCCTTTCTACCCCACCTTCCCTCCACCCTCCCAGTATCACCACTCTCACCACTGGTCCTGAAGGGATCATCCACCCTGGATTCCCTGTGTTTCCAGTTCCTATCTGTCCCAGTGTACATCCCCTGGTCTAGCCAGATTTGTAAGGTAGAATTGAGGTCATGATAGTGGGGGCGGGGTTTGCAGGGGGAGGAAGTATTAAAGAACTAGAGGAAAGTTGTATGTTTCATCGTTGCTACACTGCACCCTGACTGGATCGTCTCCTCTCCGCAACCCTTCTGTAAGAGGATGTCCAGTTGCCTACAGATGGGCTTTGGGTCTCCACTCTGCACTCCCCCTCATTCACAATGATATGATTTTTTTGTTCTTTGATGCCTGATACCTGATCCTTTCAACACCTCATAGTCACACAGGCTGGTGTGCTTCTTCCGTGTGGGCTTTGTTGCTTCTGAGCTAGATGGCCAGTCATATCGATCTTTACCATGATTAATTTTAGAACGTTCCTTTCTTATTACCTCCCCATCCCCCCCCCACCTTCATTGCCACACCTCCCAGAAACCATTGATCCAGTTACTGTCTGTAGAGTCGCCCAGCCGGGTGACCAGAACCAGGCACAGCTGGCAGCAGTGACCACGTCGAAGACCAGCGTGACTTTAAGACGAGCCGCAGGGAGGTGGAATGCTACTTGTTCAGTTCCCACCTCACCTTCCCCTGGCCGGCCTTCACCCCGCAGTGCCGCGCACCTCTTGCCCATGTTCGAGGTGGGGAAGCAGAGGATTGTGTGTAACTTACCCAAGATCACACACGGGAAGCGGTGGGGCCAGAGAGTGGGAACTGGGGGTGCTGGTCAAGCCCCACACTGGCTGTGGCATCAGCACCCACCAGGTGCAGGAAGGGCTGGCAAAGTCACCCATAGAGGCACCTGTAAATGGGTTGGCCTGGGTGCCTTGCCTGGTGACACCCTGAGAGGTCTGAGTGGCCAGTGTTTGCCACTGCTTGGTAGCCTCCTCTCGGGAAACAGCTGGTGGGGTGGGGGTGGGGTGCCGGGGCGCACCAGAGTCACTGAGTGGCTTGAGGAGATGCTGCTGCTCACGGCCAGTTGAGAAGGGCACTTGCTCCCCGCAGAGCTTGGTGGTTGATTGGGTCCTTTTCTACGCAGATGGCCCGAGACCGTATCCTGGCTTCTCCGTCTGAAGTTCCATAGGAGCTGTTTGAGTTGGAAGCCGGTTCCCAGCACCTGGCCCTGCTAGATGGGCGGAGGGGTCGGGGTGCTGCCCCACAGCAGCCCCTCCTGACCCCTGACTCCATCTCACAGAGGTGTCCTGGCTGCTTCAGACCGCCAGGACCCACGGGGTGGTTTATTGTCTCTGTGCTTGGCCCCCAGATGCTTCAAGTTACGACAAGCAAGAGGAGTGAAGCCGGTGAAGCCCCAACTCCAGCTTAGGGGGACTTGCAGAGAGAAGCCCCCCCAAAGGGACCTGTTGGAAGAGGAGCTGGCATTCGGCCCCCACCATTGCCTTAGCACAACCCCCCCCCCCATCCCCAGGACGCTGCTGCCGGGGTGCATTTTCCCAGGGGCTGTTTCTGGTGTCACATTCTCATAGTTGGATTAGAGCAGGTGAAGGTGTAGGGACTGAGTAGAAAGCTGTTCTTTAAGGTCGTTTCTTTTTAAAAAACACAGACGTGGCGTGAGTCCTGGACGGCCCTCCTCGTCTTGCCCACTCCGGCTGCGCGGCCCTGGCCGAGACAGACTTGCTTTGTGTGTTTTGTCAAGTCCTCTGTGTTGGAGAGAGGATTATGTTACACAGTTTTTGTTGTAAATAAACAAACCGCTTCCTTGTCCCGGTGAGGTCTGGCACCCGGTACCTGTGGGAATGCCGTCAAGTTCTGGTGTCTGTTTAGGCGGCTGGGGGCCCGGCCAGCGGCGAAGACCCACAGAGTCGGCAAGACTGGGAACCAGGTTGGTCCTCAAGGGCCCGAGCCAATCTGCTCGATTGGCCTAATAAGTGCTGGGCACCAATAGTGGCTAAGCCTCTTGGGGCCTCTGCCCCACACGCCTCGCTGGGCTGGAATCAGACGTGGACTTCCTCAGACACTGGCCTCCAAGTGTCCAGGCTGTTGCCCTCAGGTTTCTTCCGGCCACCTGTGGGTCCCACTCTGTCCATTGACTGCCCTCTGCCCCTCAAGCCAAGATTTGGACCATGTCAAACATCATTCAGACCATATCGGTGGCCAACCAGATCATGGGCCATGCTGGGAGGGTGGGAGTGCTGACGTCCGGCCTCCACCACCCACGCTGGCCAGCTCTGCCGTGGCCGTGCAGCCTGGCCACCCGAGGGGCACTCCGCTGTCCGCTCCCTTGTGTCCCCACCACACGCTCCCCTGTCTTTGGCGCTGTCACCCGCAGCACCCAGAGTGTGCGTGCGCAGCACTCTGCAGTGGTGGTGCCGGCCGTGGCCTTCTCACTGAGCCCAACCGCGGAGGTGTGGGCAACAGCCTGGGCAGCTTGAGTGGCACAGTGGACGGCCCCACCAGGAAGATGGCTCTGCCCAAGGCAGTGCGAAGCTCCGGGAAGTTCAGCTCCCTGCAGACTGCCACCCAGCAGCCGCAGCCGGCCCACCCACAGGACTGGGCTCTTCAGACCCCTTTGCACCAGGCGTCGCTGTTGACAGTGCAGCGGGTGGAAATGGCCGTCGGTCCTTCGGGGCTGGGGACCATGGGCCACTGTCCTTGTGTCTTTCCAGCCCCCAAGTCCGTAAGCACAGACTGAAGATGCTGCCCGGACTGCCCCTGGGGCACAGCCTGGAGGCACGTGGTAGGCGGGGCTTCCCTCCAAGGTGGACTGAGGCACTCAAGGTCCACTCCCTGCCAGCAAGTCAGTCCCCACCCACGGGGCAGGGGACCCCCTGCGGGTGTCCGAGCCTCCTGTTTCCCGGGAACACCTGGTGGTCAAGCTGCTGACCATGTGGTGGAGAGATTCTCGGGGTACCTGGGCTGTGAGGACCTGGCTCTCACCCCCGCCAGAGGCAGCCGCTCGCCTGTCGGCCCTCGGGAAGCCTGGCTGACGTCTGCTGGGCAGACTGAGCACTAGGTGGCGACACAGCCCACAGCATCCCTCTGGGCAGGCCGGTGCCCCCACATTCTCAAGTCCACCCCTCACGGCTGGCATGCAGGACAGCTGTCCTCAAGACGTGCTGATGGTGCCAAAGAGAATAGCATCTACCTCTCGGCAGTGTGACCACCACTCAGCCTGTACCCACCCATCATGACCCTTCAAGCCAGGGTGGAACTGGGTGGGGGGGGGGGTGTTCCGAGACTACGTTTTCACGGGGGTGGTTTTGAACTGGTGATCCTGCGATTAGCAGGCCAATGTGTATCCCACCATGTCACCGCCGGGCCCCATAGAGACCCTCTGTGCTGACTTGGCTGCTAGGGCCCCCAAGAGCCCGGCCTTGCTTGCCCTCAGGCAGCAGGGAAGGGCCATCACAGCAGCCCCAGGCACCCAGCAGGCAGGTGGGAGGGCCTCACCGGGAGGGGACTGGGTGACCCATCTCCCCAGGCCCTGAAGGACATTGTTCCAGGAGGAGCAGAGCCTGGCACCCAGAGGATGTCAGCCTGCCCTGTGGCCAGCATGCAAGCAGGTGGCCATGCCCCAGAGGCTGAGGCGTCCGGACACCCTGCCCCATGACCCCACCTCTGTCCGCAAAGGGGACCTGCGGGAGAGGACTCTGGCCCAGGTGCACACTGCCCTGGTGGGCACTGTGTTGGCGTCCTGGGCAGGAGAGCTGGGCTGGCTGGAGGGAGTGGCTGAGCCGTGACGCCTTCTCTTCCCTGACTGCTGAGAAACTGGCTTTAACCCGAGTCACACCAACACTCACGGTGAGCAGTCAGATGGAATCCCAAACGTGGGTTCAATGCGTGTGTGTGTGTGTGCGCGCGCGCGCGCTCAAGTGTGTGAGCGAGAGATGCCAACAGATCAATGATGCAGTATTTTTTAAACCAAGAAGCGTTTGTCTTTCTTAAAAACGTGCTCTCCTAAACCCAGGACCCTTCAAACTAAAAGCGCACCTGGGGTTTGAAAGGGACTTGAATCAACTGTCCATGTTCTCTCGGGAGCCACGGGCCTGTGGAGCCGGCCCTCGCCTTCCAGGTGTGGCTGGAACTGTCCTTCTAGAATCATCCAGACCAAAGCCAAACGCACTCCACCGAGTAAATTTGAGCTCACAGTGACACAACGGGACCGCGCAGAACTGCCCCTGTGACCCAGACCCTGTCCGTTCACCATCAAAAAGCAGGAAGAAGTCGGGGCGACTAGGGGGCTCGTGGAGAGGCTGGAGAACCAGAGCAGCTCCCGGGGACAGACCACAGGCACCCAGACTTCATGGGCCTGCAGCAGCCCCTTTTCAGAGGGATGATTACTCAATCCCTCCTGGCAATTAAAAAACGTTCGCACTGTAGCCCACAATCCAGGACAGAGTTTAGGCACCTGCTTGTACAGCCCGCCCCCAATCACTCCAGCCCACCCACTTTGGGGAACTGCCCCGGACCAAGGCAGTTTAGGAAAGGGCCCCCGGGTCCCAGAAGGAGTCCCAGACTTGGCAAAACTGCCAGGTGTCTCAGCAGCTACTTGCCTTGGTGACTTGTGAGGGGACACGCATGGTGATTCGGCCAGAGGACACTGCTGCCTGGCTGCAGGCCCCTCCCCCCATCCTGTGCCAGCCAGCACGCCAGGCTTGGCATGGGGGGGGGGGAATGGCGCCAAGTTGGTGCTTGGCCCTGAAGAGCAGGTTTGCAAAGCTTCAAGTTCATTCTTTATAGAAAGACTCCCAGGGAGCCCCAGGAGACGGCACCGCCATTGAGTGCACCCACTGCCCCACCCCACCCTCCCCTTCCCTCGCAGACAGCCCCACCCACGGCCCAGGTGTTGGAGCCAGACAGGCAATGCCCTGCTACCTCTCCCCACCCCCACCCCTGCACCAGTCAGGCCTCTGGGTCCACTTCCATGCTGTCACTTGTCCCCCCTCTCCATTGATGACCGAGACACCCTCTTCCACCCGGAGCCCCCAGAAGGCTGTGGGGTGAGAGTCAAGCTCCCAGGGTTCTCTAGAGCCTGGCCTCTCCAGCCACATCCTGTTAAGTCTGTGTCCCACCCTCCATGTCACCTCCTGCGTGCTTGCCCTGACGCAGCGTCCAGGGCCACCCCCTTCCCAACACGTAACTCAGCCCCACCCCAATGCTCACAACTAAAGATGTGTCCCCAGCAAGCCTGGAGAGCGACCCCTCAGGCCCACAGTGATGTTCTCAGTCCTGGAAATGGCCCCAATTCTAGCCAATAAAGCCACAAACATTCCTCTTTGTTGTTAAAATATTTCCTAAAGTTTTTAAAAATCAAGGTGATTTCTTTACACATGCCAGAGGCTAAGACCGCAAACAGACAAACCTCACTGCCATTGAGTGGGTTCAGACCCCTCGTGATCCTATAGGACAGAGTGCATTGCCCGTGAGTCTCCAAAGCTGTAAATCTTTACGGGGTGTGTTAGTCCGGGTTGACCAGAGAAACAAATTCATAGACACTCGTGTGTAAGAGAGAACTTTATATCAGAGAGCAATTGTACATTAAGAAACAGCCCAGCCCAGTCCAGATCAAGTTTTAAATTCTTCTTCAGACTCACACAGCACATGCAATGATGCTGAACACAGGAAAATCACAGGCCAGTGAGTAGAAAGTCTTGTGGATCCAGTGGCAGTGGAAGCATCTCAGTGCTGGCGTGGGTCTCCACATGGCTCCTCCAGCTCTAGGGTCCTGGTTTCATCAGCCTAGCTCCACGTAGCTTGTCAACAGGGATGTGTAGCAGAGAGAGTGTGCATCTGGCCTCCAGTGAGCAACTTATCTCCATGGCGCCTACAAGTGAGGTCATCAAGCGGGGACCTGATTGACACGCTAGACTCCACCCCTCCGTAACTTGACAGCAGATTATATAACTGACACACAGGTAGAGAGCCTCGTCTTTCTCCCTCGAAGTGACTAGTGGTTTCAAACCGCTGACCTTACTGTTTGCAGCCAGCTTGTACCTGACTATGGCATCATGGCCCCACCAACGGTAAAAGGTGAGTCCCAAGGAAATGCCTATAGATGGAGAGCGGATACAAGCCTGGCCAAGCCTCCACCTCCTCCTGAAGCCTTCCCTGCCCACCCACCTCTGAGGTGCCCTGCACCCCGCCCCCTGAGGCTGTGTTCCCCTCCAGGGTAGGCCCCCAATTGACTTTAACTCCCAACCCCCCTGCACACTGCCAAGAGTCAGGGGCCCCGGTTTGGTGAATGAATACCTGGGTCTTGGCAAGACTTGGGTCCATCATCTGGCTTCTGACACCTTCTTGGGCAAGCCAGTGAGGGTGCTCGGGGATGTGTGGGCCGAGGCCTGCGGGAGCCCACCATGTTAAGGACACCTGATTCAAGGACCCGTGATAGAAAAAAATAATAAGACAAAGAGGGTGATGGACGATGAGAGACTGTCACCGCCCAAAAGAACCCGGTTAGTGCCGGTGGTGGGCACACGGCACGAGGCCCACGAGGAAGGGCAGGCCTGTGCGCTTGCTGGATCACACGAAGCCGTGGCTCCCCAGGCAGGTCTGCAGGCAGACTGGGCAGAGGGCCCATGGGACAAAGTCCTGCCTCTAAGGCAGTGGCTCTCCACCGTCCTCATGCAGCAACCCTTTCATCCAGTGCCTCGTGGGGGTGACCCCCCACAGCAAAATTATTTTCGTTGCTACTTCATCACTATCATTTTGCCACTGTGATGAATCGGGCGACCCCGGTGAAAGGGTCATTGGGCCCCCAAAGG